GCCAGGGCCAAATTGTACTTCTTAATCCCTTCACCTTTTTCACCCATTCCCCTAAACCCCCTCCCATCTGACAACCAACAAAATGTTCTCTGTATCTATGAGAATGTTTCTGTTCTGCTTGTTCATTTTGTTTGTAGATTCAATTGTTGATAGATATATATTCATTGCCATTTTGTTTGTTCAAGAAGACCCTTTTTCTTCAAGAAGACCCTTCAGCATTTCATATAATAATGGTTTGGTGGTTATGAACTCCTTTAGCTTTTCCTTGTCTGGGAAACTCTTTATATGGCCATCGATTCTAAATGATAGCTTTGCAGGATAGAGTAATCTTGGTTGTAGGTTCTTGCTTTTCATCACTCTGAATATTTCTTGCCACTCCCTTCTGGCCTGTGAAGTTTCTTTTGAGAAATCAGCTGACAGTCTTATGGGAACTCCCTTGTAAGTAACTAACTGCTTTTCTCTTGCTGCTTTTAAGATTTTCTCTTTGTCTTGAACCTTTTGCATTTTGATGATGATGTGTCTTGTTGTGGGCTTCTTGGAGTTCATCTTGTTTGGGACTCTCTGTGCTTCCTGGACTTGTATGTCTGTTTCCTTCACCAAGTTAGGGAAGTTTTCTGCCATTATTGTTTCAAACAGGTTTTTAATTTCTTGTTCTCGCTCTTCTCCTTCTGGCACCCCCAAGATGTGAATGTTGGCACATTTGAAGTTGTCCCAGAGGCTCCTCACACTATCCTCATTTTTTTGGATTCTTTTTTCTTTATGCTGTTCTGATTGGGCATTTTTTGCTTCCTTATATTCGAAATCAATGGTTTCCTTCTTGGCTTTACCTACTCCACTATTGAATCTGTGTAAATTATTCTTTATTTCAGTTAGTGCCTCCTTCATTTCTGACTGGTCCTTTTTTATTCTCTTGAGGCCCTCACTAAGTTTGCTGAGGTTCTTACTAAGTCCATTGAGCATCCTTGTAAGCAGTGTTTTGAACTCAGCATCTGTTAGGTTGCTTATCTTCATTTCGCTTAGTTCTTTAATGGGGTTTTGTTCTGTTCTTTCATTTGGGACCTGTTTCTTTGTCTCCTAATTTTGGCTGCCTCCCTGTTTGTTTCTGTGTATTACTTAATGAGAGGTATGGGGCTAGCTGAGACCAGATGCTGCTTGCTTGAAAGAATTTAGGAAAACCTGAAGCAGGATCCAAGCCAGGCCAATCCTATGGTAAAGCAACTGGCAACAGCTTGGGTGGGCCTGAAAGTTGGGTGGGCCTGAAAGTTGGGTGGGGTGGGGCGGGGCCTCAGGGAGTCACCAGAGCGGGGCTACCAGCGTGAGCCAGGTTGCTGGAGTCCCAGACATGGTGGCTGTATGCCGCTCCAGGGAAGGGCTCACTGAAGGAACAAAAGCCTCTGACAGCACATCTGTCCCGGAGAAAGCCCCCTCTCCAGCCCCCGCTCCAGTGCCCAACAGCTCAGTTCTTCCCTGTGTGTCTCTGGCGCCCCTCGAGCTGCCTCCCCTCCAAGCTTAGAGGGAGAGAGTCCGATAAGTCCATGCACGGGCCCTTTAAGGAGCTGCCTGGGGCTCCAGCCACGTCAGCCTCCCTGAGCCTCAGTTCCCGCTGGTTTTCCAGCCAGAAGTTATGGGGATTCTCTTCCTGGCACTAGAACCCTGAGCGGGGCACCTGGTGTGGGACGGGGACCCCTCAGTCCTCAGGAAGGACCTTCCCAGCCTAGGTGTCCTCCTGATTTTTATCTGCTACATGTGGGTGTGGGACCAGCCCCTTCACCTCCGCCCCTCCTACCAGTCTGGATGTGGCTGCTGCTTTAATTCCGAAGTTGTAGGACTTTCATTCAGTTCGATGTCAGGCGGTTTTGATGACGATTGTTCTATAGTTTAGTTGTAACTTTCACATGGTTGTAGGAGGACGATACCGCATTTACCTACCCGCCATCCTGACTGGAAGTCTCATTGGTTGATTCTTGTATGTGCCCTGACTGAGGATCAAGCCCATGACCTTGACTTACTGGGACTGCACTCTAACCAAATGAGCTACCCAGCCAGGGCTCAATTATGTTCCTGTTTTAGAAGAAGAAAGTATAGTTTTGTCCAAATCACACAGTAAAAGTAGCAGAATCACATTTCAACTCAGGTAATCTGACTCCAGAGCCCTTTCCTTTGACTAATGTACTAAAATGCTTTTCCCTGTTCTCTTATTTCCCAAACTGTGTGTCTGGACCGCCAGGGTTGCTGTGGGGTGTTTAAAAATTTTGAGGGAAACACAATGCTATCTCTTGGGCACTATAGACTATTGGCTCGACGTGGCTTAACATTTCATCACTGGCTCACACTCCATTTCTCTCGATGACCAATCTTTGCAAAGCTAGATTTTTAGTGGTGTTGTGAAAAAAGCACGTGTCAGCCCTGGCTGGTGTGTTCAGTGGTTAGAGTACTGGCCCACACACTGATGAGTCATGGGTTGGATTCCCGACATGTACCTGGTCGGGGTCGTGTGGGAGGCACCCAGTCAATGTGTCTTCTCTCATAGCTCTCTTCTCTCTCTCTCCCTCTCCCTCCTTCTCCCTCCATTCCACTGTCTCTAAAAATCAGTGGAAAAAATATCCTCAGGTAAGGATTTACAACAAGGACAACAAAAAAGCAAGGGTCACAAACACAACATTAATACAGGACAAGAAATGCAGGTGGCAGTCTCCTGTTCCCAGATTTGAGAAGTGTGCAGTGCCCAATAGGCACACATATCCCATTAGTAAGTAATAGCGGTTACATGACATAAAAGTATTATTTTTTAAATTTACTTGTATTATTTCTTCAAATACTAAACTGTTAAATAAATACTTAAGTTGTTTGGACTGAGCTACGTAATGTATCAGACTGTTAGGTGTTTCTTTTGGCCTAGGGGTGCCATGAAAACCTTTCAGAGACACTGTGTGAACTGAGAAAGTATAAACACATTTCTGCAGGTGTAGAGAAGAGCATTTAGAATTCATTTGGCCTGAGATAAGAAATCAATAAGTAATTGTTCTTACTGTTATATCAATGCTGAGGTGTTAATGACTTCATAGTAATTCTCACAGGAGTGAGAATTTGATTTGAATTGAACTTGGGAAGGCTGATAGTAACCCAAAGGAGCGCCTGATAAGAGATATTTGGACATTATTCTGTTTCTAAATTAAATTATGTAGGTAGATGTCTTAAAATTATGACCTGGGTAAAATGCATTCCTGCATTAATCTGATCTGATTACAGTGATACCTGTCTTACAGGTTTGTTGTGCAGGTGAAATGAGTAAGCTAAAGACCACTGCCTGGTGCATAATAAGCAATCAGTGAAAGCTGAATATTGTTAATATTTATCATTATTATTATTATCTGTTTTTATTTATCATTTATCATTATCATCATCATTACCACCACCACCACCTTCTCTGAAGACACATCCCCCCACTAGCACAGCACAATTCTTTTTTTTTTATCCTCACTCGACATTTTTCCATTTTTTTGTTCAGATAGAGTGGGAGAGAGAGGAAGAGAGAGAGAGAGAGAGAGAGAGAGAGAGAGAAACATCGACATGAAAGGGACACATCGAGTGGCTGCCACCCGCACGACCAACCAGGGCCAGGGACAAACTGCAACCGAGGTACATGCCCTTAGCGGGAACCGAACCCGGGTCTCTCTGGACCGCAGGCCGATGCTCTAACCGCTGAGCCAAACCGGCCAGGGCCTCAGCAGAATTCTTAACCCATCATGAAACGTGGACACAAAACATGTTTGTTAGTTTTGGACAGGTTAAGGAATCTAGGATGCCCCTGGAGTCCCAGTCCTGTTTAGGCTCATCTTTAATGGCAAGCGAGGGCTTCCCCTATAAGTCCTTTGAGCCCGGATTTTACCAAAGACTGATCTGATAGGCACTTCCCCAACTCTCCTTAGCCCTAGTTCTACACCTGTTTGGAACAACCTCTAGGGAAACTTTGGGGACAACTTAAATTTTTCTTTCTTTTAGCTGATGGATTAAAATTTTTCTTTTCTTACCTGTCTTGGTATTAATGATAGCTGTGTTCTTGATTATTTTTATCATAAATTAATATGCTTAGTTTATAAAATCTCTTACTGGGAAAATCACCTCTTAATAACATTTGTAAAATAGCACTTTGTAGTATGGAGTCATTTGTTTGGTCTCTTCAGTTCATAAAGTACTTTCATGTCTGTTATGTTCATTTTTGTGACATTTCCCAAAAGATCTAGACAGGGCAGATAGTATCTTCATTTCATGGATGAAGAAATCGAGATCAGAAAGATACGTGACTCGCTGTGGGGCGCGTGGCCACGTTGGAGCCATCCAGGCTGGGAATCACACGTTTCTGATTTCTAATTCTGTGCCCTTCTTATGATCCTGTGCTCTGCAACCTTCTGCTTCAAACCCCCAAATTGGGACCAGAACATGGATGACTCAGAACTCCTGAGGTCAATTCTGGGTTCCATCTTTTGACCTTGGGAAAATCTGTTTACTTCTCTGAATCTTTATCTCTTCATTTGTCGAATTAGATAATAACATTTCTGTAATTTTCCTGTGGGGTTGTAATTAGTGTTGGAACCAAGATTCAGAACCATGAATGGGATAACATATAACAAGAACCATGTTATCTGGTTCTTGAGTTTATGCTCCTAACTGTGAGTTACACTAACTCTTGCCATCATAAGGGGATAAAATAAACTTTAAACGTTAGTGTGTGGACCAGGCCAAATGTATTTTGGGGTGTAGTGACTACCAGCCTTCACTCCCTGCTCTAACTGGAGCTTCAAAAGTAACTCAAGGCTTCAGAGCTCTGGAGAATGGGGTTAAGTTAAATGTTCACTGATGAAATGACCTGTGTTGTCATTCAAAATGTAAATGCAACATTGGAAAAAAAGGCTGATTTTTTTTTTTAGAAATGTCTTTGTTTTAAAATGTTTTTTATAAAGTGTCTAAAAATTCTTTCTTTTTTTTTCTTTTTCTTACAGCACTGGGAGGTGTTCAAAAAAGTAACAGAAGTTTTCATTTTAGTTCCTGCACTACTTGGTCTCAAAGGGAACTTGGAAATGACACTGGCATCCAGATTATCCACTGCAGTAAGTTCTTTCCTACCTCAAAGTGCGTGTGTTACCTACGCTGTTCCTATTACGGAGAACGTGTGTCAGGAAAAAATTATTTTCCTGTCTATCTGATAAATTTCCGGACCTCAGGGCTATGCTAAGTATTTCTGCCTGATATGATACCCTGAGAGTTCTCTGGGTTGTCTGATCTGAAAATTATAGGCCTTCCTTTGTCCTGAGAAGTAGTAGTATACTTGCCTCCCTTAATTCCAGGGCATTCTGGCAATTGTCATCAGTGCTTAAGACATGGGACAAGTCAGATATTGAGGTTCTTTATGAGTTGATGGTTGGTTAATTGGTATTTAAACTTTTTGTGATCATAAAAGTAATACCTGTTTATTGTAAAAACTGAAGAAAAGGGAAAAAAGTATAAGAAAGAAAATTTGAAACTACAAATTCTTCACCTATACATAATCACTATTACTGCTTTGGTATAGATCCTTCTATATACTTACCCGTAGGTATATCACAATATAGATGCATACTGTATATTCTAAAAGAGGTCTAGAATCATATGTATTTTTTTTTTTTTTAATCCTCACCCAAGGACATTTTTCCATTTTTTGTTCAGATAGAGTGGGAGGGAGAGAGAGGAAGAAAGAGAGAGAGAAACATCAACGTGAAAGGGACACATCGAGTGGCTGCCACCCGCACGACCAACCAGGGCCGGGGACAAACTGCAACCGAGGTACGTGCCCTTAGCAGGAACCGAACCCGGGTCTCTCTAGACCACAGGCCGACACTCTAACCGCTGCGCAAAACTGGCCAGGGCTGTATTCTTTTTTATAATCCATGATATCCATTTGAAAACAGATGTATCATGATCATCTTTCCATATCAAGTGTAGACCCATACCATTATTTTATCAACTATGTACTTTTCTGGTATATAGCTCTACCACAGTTTAATCCATCATCCATTGGATATATAGGTTCTTTATAATGTTTATTTATTATAAACAATGTTTTAATGAATATTCTTATGTATACAGTTTTGCATTCTCATTTCTTTCGGGCAAATTCTAGGATTGTGATTACCATTCAGAAAAAAATGCATACTTCTAAGGCCTTAAGGTACTTACTGCAATACAGTCATCTAAAAAGGTTAGACATTTTTGAAAATACTGTCATCAGCAGAATTCTGAGTTATTTTTAGAATCCCAAAAGGACATTGTTTTCTCACTATAACATTCTTAGGGTGTTCACCATGGTAGAACCAGGTTATATTTGAAACCATGTAGCTAGTCAGTTTCACTAACACCCCCGCCCCACCCGACCCAAGCAAAAGTTTATTTAAAAAGTCACAGAGGTATAGGTGAGCCAGAAGAAGTGGGCCAGCTGGGCTGCATGGACAAAGGAAAGAAGTTACAGAGGCAAAGAAGAAGCCTTGGAGTTTAGGAGAAAGAAAGGCCATGAAAATGCGCCTGGGAAGGAGAAAGAGAAGGCTTGGGCACCCTCCAGAGAGAGTGTCCTGGGGAAAGAAGGGGGTAGGAAAAGGTGGTGGTGTCAGAGAGAGAGAGAGAGAGAGCGCGCGCGCGCGAGAGCGAGTACACGCGAAGTAGTATAGTCAGGGTCACTTCGATGAACCATATGCCCATTGAATGTTAGCCAAAAATTAACCAAGCCATCAGAGGGTATTACTAATTGCAGTGCCTTTCATATATATTTCTTTTTCTTAAAGAAGCTACAGCAAGCGAATCTATTTATGAACTAGGAAGTATTCTTTGTATCTAAAGGTGGAAGCTGAACAATTATGTTGCTGATCAGAGCAAACTCCCCACTACCCCCCCCCCCCCCAGGCAGCTGTGAGTTCCCTGTTTCTTGAGTAAAACCAGTGCTTGGAAAAGAAATGCATTAAAGTAATTTTTTTTTTTTTATTCTCACCCAGGACATTTTTGCATAGAGCGAGAGGGAGAGAGAGAGAGAGAAACATCAATGTGAGAGTGACACATCAACTGGTTGCCACCCACACAACCCCTACTGGGGTGGGGACAAACTGCAATTGAGGTACGTGCCCTTAGAGGGAACTGAACCCAGGTCTCTCTGGAGTGCGGGCCGTTGCTCTAACTGCTGAGCCCAACTGGTCAGGGCAAAGTCATGTTTTATTAACATGATTGGCTTGCTCAGTTAAAAGGAATGCTACATGTGCTCTAGGGCACTTTCCAAGCCCCTTCCCTATATATTAAAGGTCACATAGCCATACCCTGCCCAGGGCGATAATGAAGCGTGGGTATCAGTGAGCACGCAGAATGTGCCCGGACTGTGCTAGCTGCTCTACAGGGATATCTTGTAACAAGTTGTGAAATAAGCAGTTATTCCTGGTTTACTGTTATTCCCGAGGTTTAGAACAGTTGAGTCACTTTCCTGAGCTAGTACATCGTGGAATAAGCCACATTCCAGAACAATCCCTTTTACCTGCACAGGAGACCTGTACCAGACTTTATAAAACCAATAAATACCAGCAGTAACAAAAACCTAACAGTCTCCTCTGCATGGTGTGGGTGCTCTCCCAAGGTCTTGGTCTTAGTGCCCATACACAATATTTTTGGTACTTGATATTGAAAATTTTTGATATTTATATTTTTTAAAAATTACTATTTATGGATATAACCCTGTTGCTTATCTCTGTAGTTGGTGAGCTAGAGGTGATGCTGGGGGATATCAGCTAGTCGTTAAGGTGAGCCAAACCTCACAGAATAGAATTACTTGGCTGAATTGACTTTAGCCTATACTTTTGCATATCATCTTTATAATCACACTCCTTGGGTTGGACATGCACCCAGTGATGGCATTGTCTGCCTTCAGGAGGAGGCCCTGGCATTGGATTCCAGGCCATTTGGTCAGGGAACTGTGTGGTCCCCAGTATCTGGAGCATGGCCCTGAAGGGCATGAGGCACCGGCTGCGAGTGGGCACACCGCTTGGGCCATATGCACCCCTCACCCAGTGTGGTGGGGCAGAGCCAAAGGAGGGCCAATGGGGGCCCTCTCAGCCATGGGTCTCAGAGCCGGGCCCCTCTTATCAGATTTAGAGTACTACTGAGTCTAGATTCCGGGAGTGAAAAACTTCTCTTAGCCTAAGGAAAATTACATGACATAGAAGAGCTGTTGAAGCTGCCTTGTGATGTAGTTTTGCAAAATATTAAAATAAGATGAGGAGAAGATATATATTAAAAAGGGCTGCGGGAGCAAAATAGCCTTAATATTGTACTCTGAGGTAACAATAATGGGACTTACTAATATAACCTGTGGCTGCTAATAGAGAATGCGGTTTTTCTACTGCAGCTTTCTTAAGTCACCAAAGAGATAGATGTACCTTGAAGCATGCAGGTATTTCTTACATGATGTCTACTATAAAAGTCCTATCATTCTGCTCTTGAGAAGGTACTAAAGTCGGCATGGGTGCAATGAAAGCTGAGATACACATGGAAATTCTGTGTTTGTATGTGTGTGTGTGTGCCCGCGCATGTCTTAGAAGCCAGTTACATTGCTCCATTGTTACACTTTCAGGTTCAAAGATTAAAAGACAAAACTTTCTCAACTGATCATGTGAAGCACTAAGTATGTGTAAAATTATTAAAATAAATTTAAAAATATATGTTAGGGCAACAATCTTAGACTCATCTGAAAATATTTAGAGTCATCATCAATCAGTGTGCAAAGTGTTAGTCTGTGAAATTACTTCAATGTAACTGCATCATCACTATCAACCAAATCTTCAAACCTAGGAATCAAAGAGGAGAAACGTCTTTTATCTTATAAAATACTACATGAGAGGAAAGAGAGCCTAATAACTTGGTAACACCATGATTCTCAGCAGTGTCCAGATTGGCGAAACTAGCCCCATGCAGCCTTGCTTCTCTCATGACTTCATTTGAAGGTGGGCATTTATACAGTATTGAAAATAGGAAGTCTGGTAATCACAGGATCAGTCTAGCAGCTCTCAGTGCTAAGAAATTATTTCTAGAAAATTTGATAATAAAATGGTATTGCAGTTTTAAAAATTTGGTTAAGTTTCATATTTTTCTAGTATCCCAGAAACTCATTATCTAATGATGATATTTGGTGTCACTGAATATTGATTTGAACACTTGGCCATCTGGCATCCAGCTGGAGTGTACATCCAGTATACCTTTGGCTTTTGTCTTGAACAAAACTGTTCTTTAGTTTACTAAGGTTTTCAGAGTTAATTACATACATGTGTTCTATCTGTCATCTCTTCCCCATGATCTATATGTATATTATATATATATATTTTAAATCAATTAATTTGTTTTGAGAGGGGAAGAGCAAGAAAGAAATATTGATTTGTTGTTCCACTTATTTATGGGTTTGTTGGTTGATTCTTTTCCTGACTGGGGATTGAACCTGCAACCTTGTTGTATAGGGACAACACTCTAACCAACCGAGCTACCTGGCCAGAACAATACACGTGCACTATGTTTTGTTTTTTTTAATCCTCACCCAAGGACATTTTGCATTTACCTTCAGATAGAGAGGGAGGGAGAGACGGAGAGAAACATCAATGTGAGAGAGACACATTGACTGGTTGCCACCCGCATGACCCCAACCGGGGCTGGGGACAAACTGCAACCGAGGTACGTGCTCTTAGTGGGAACCAAACCTGGGACTCTCTAGTCCACGGGCCGATGCTCTAACTGCTGAGCCAAATGGGCCAGGGCACGTGTATTATGTTTTAAGAACTGGTGGATCACCTAGATAGAACCATTGCAATGCAAGAGGCTTTTTGGCAGGAGATGAGAATAAAGAAGAGGTCTTTGAAAACAAAAGTGACAACATTTAGGGGAGAAGAAGGTTATTAGAATGAGAGAAAAAAGTGGCTCTAGTTCATTTTGTTAAAAAAATGAACTTTGTTTTGATAAATATAGTCAAGCATACAAGCACTAAGCAACTTGATAACTTTGCCAAGAAAACCAAAATTTTGGCTAGCTTACCTCAAAGAAAATATTTCTAAAAGCA